TGGGTGGGGGGGGGGGGGGGGGGGGGGGGGGTGGGTCACAAAGACACAGAGAAGCTTGAATTAATCTATTGGGATTGTCTGGTTCGTGGGTCTGCATTTCCAGTTGCCTCCCTCCATGTGGCCCAAGATCTGAATGTAGGTGTCAGAGCACAGCTGTCAGCTACTGACCCCTCCTCTGGCTCAGGAGGAGCTTTACCCTGCAGGGACTATTCTCTGCAGTATTCAGTGCTATATTTTGCAGGTTGTAAAGTTTCCATGTGGCCTAGAACTGTGACACAAAGTTCAGGTCCTTCTTTGTGATGTGGCAAACACTGTACCTTCAAAACACACAGCAACAGAGCTGCTCTTTGGATGGCAAAATGAAAGGGAAGATGTGTCCTAACCCACACAACTTCTTCATGGAAAAGCTGGGAGCTAATGCCCCATCTCTACCTTTCTCTTTTAACCTCTAGATAATGCTGCCTGCTTTGGAGAGCGCCTGTCTGAAAGGCTGTGGGAGTTTGGCTGCAGTGACTCAGTAAAGTGCTGAGCTGTTGTCATGAAAACCCAGAAAAAGTATGAGTCAACAAAAGGTGCTGCATTGTATAGTAAGAGCCTGTGCAAGTGCAGGAGTCTGCAGTGTGAGCTTAAATTTCATGTTTATGAGTTTGAATTTGACTCCAGTGTTCCCATGAATGCTGAACTTTGTGAACTAAGACCCAAAAAGGACTCATTCAAACGAGATGCAGCCTCCAGATCTTGTTATGCAAATACCAGAGATGTCAGCTCTATCTCTATTGCTGTGCCACATTTAATTTCCAAAACCTTAATGAAGTTGTTACTTACAGTGATTTCATTGACATATAAATGTTCTCCTTTACTGGGCTCTTCTGCACTGGCTTCTCTTGCACAGGGACATCAGACTCAGCTGTAGGGTCAGGCTTTGGTACTTCAGTAGTGCACTGTCAGAGACACGCAGCAACACAAGATATTAATGTCATTGCCCTGCCCACAGAAGAAACCCCTATTAATTTCCTTATTTTGTTCAGTGTTCATGCTGTTTAAACATATTGGCTAATATAGCCTGGGTTTCCTCACATCAGTCAATTCCCAGAAACTGGGAGCTAGAAAGGTGCTTGAAACTTAAAAGGTAATGCTGGAATTATTGGCACTGCCAGAGACTAGCTATATTAAAAAAAAGAAAAATTGTTGCCTTTTAATTTAAGCAGACTGAAAAAGAAGACTTGTACTTTGGGTATGCTTGACCTAGAGCACTTAGGTTTTGTGACAACATCACCATTGTTAATGTCCTTCAGTCAGATGTACAGTCTGTGACTTCTGCAGAAAACTGACCACTTCTCCTGACCACTTCTCCTGAAATTAGCCTCCCAAATTGGGTGCATGCCAAAATTTGTATAAAATTAACAGCATGATTTCTCCTGCTGCTTTGTTTCACATTGAAATGTGGATACCAAAATGTACTGCAGTGTTTTAAAAGTACTGCTTTTATGCAGCTTACTGGTTTTTCAACAGAACTACATTTCAAAATACATAAAACTAATGTACTGTTACATTCTCTAAATGAAGCTTCCAATTTCAGAAAAAAACCCCAACCCTACCCCATTATACAATAGGCAAAAGCCATTAACAATGAAACAGTCAATTTGGGGAATTTCAACAAAATCAGCAATGTTTTTGTCAAAATGCCACTTTGTACCAGGAAGATCCTTTGAATGAGTCTAGTGTATTTTTTTTTTTCTTGTATAAATGAAAGGTCTATTACCTATTTCTTTATCTATGTATTCCTTTTGCAAAGTACAAGTGGTTCCTCCTACCAGTTCCTCTTTGGCTCATTAAATGTCTCCCGTGTCCTTGGAGCTGTTAACAGAGCAGCAGAACTCACAGCTGAGAAACTACCTTAGCTAAAATATTGCTGGGAGTTTGGTAATAATCTTCTTCATCCTTTTTCATGTTTTCCTCTGGATCTGACAACAGCAGGTTTTCCTCACTGCTTCCCAGAATTTTCTCCTGCTGAAAGAATGGGTTTATATTTAACAGGCTCAGTTATACACATTAACATGCATGTTTCGTTTTTGTGGAGAAGTAACAGAATCAGCAAATATTCACAGAAAACATGGTAAGATACATCCTGTTTGCATGAGGGACAATTACTTAACAAAGAGTTTTCAAGATCTGAGCCTGGATGAGGGAACCACCAGTAAAAAGCAAAACACATCAGATGTTTGAAATGGGGACTCACACTGCTAAAAGGAAGTAATTACAAGGGGTTAGTAAGCAAGTCAGCTGTCTGCATGTCACTGAGCAGAGAATAGGTCCAGAGATGTCAGCAGATGTTAAACTTATGAGGCAAGAGAAATATTTTTATACAATGGACAAATATTGTTGTTTCTTGTTCTCTATACAGCAAGGTTATTTATTTTTCACACATGCCAAAACAGAAACATGAGCTTTGTGCTATTCCCTCTGCTTCAGGCTAAAAAGCTAAAATCTAAATTCCTTATCTTCTAAACCTCATGGTCAGCCTGTCTTAGCCTGAACAGCTGCATATAATATTACCTGCTCTCTGAGGCATTGTAAGTATGAGAAGAATTAATGAATAAGACAGGAAAGGTATGTACAAGGAAGAGACACAAAGAAATTCTTGACATTCTGACCAGAGCAGGACTGGTTAAAATCAGACCAAGGGTTAACTCAGTGCATTTCAGAGCTCACAAATGAATTACTGCGACTTTATAAAGTACTGTGCATCAGCTGGGCTATGCTGACTGCCCGTGACATTGCAATGCAGTTTCAACTATTCACTTCTTTCCACTAAATTTGGCTGTATTATCTCACACTTGCTGTCAGCCTATGTACAAGGATGGTGATTGCAGCACGTGATTTACCACCCTGCTAGCTGTGATAGCAGAACAGATTCTTTGCCCTGTATCTCAGCCACTCCAGGTCAGAGGTCAGTGCATAAACTGTCGGTAAAGATGGGTTTAAGCTGCAGAGTGGTCTGGTAGAGCCTTGGTTGTGCCTTCTGTCCTCTTGACTCTGCTGCAAAGGCAGCAATCCATGGCAGAGGAAAACTGCTGCAGGCACCAGCTCAGGGAACACAGGTCAGAACACTTAGCCACTAATACAAGATAACATTCATCTTTTTATCTTTCCAAATCACTCCTGCTAGATATGGAAGTGAAATTACTTGAAGACATATTAATGCTGACAGAAGGTCAGCTCTAAGATGTGCCTCAATTTAACAAGCTCTTGCTCTGTAATTTAGTTACACTGACTCGATTGCTACTGGCAAAGGCTGAAAACCATTTAGGAACAACTGTGGCACAGCTGAGAAATGTGCAGGGAGGGACAAATCCTCAACCACTGTAAATGCAGACCTTTCTCCATCAAGTTTGCGAGAGCTGCCACAAGTTGCAGTTGCTGCACAGAAACTGAGGCTCTGACTCCAAAACCCCTGGACACAGGTATTTCAAGCAAGTTTTTAGGAGATCATTTTCAGCAGTAAGCAAGAAAACATACTAAATATTTAGGAAGCTTTCATAGAGGAAATCAACTCGATGTGCTAGGAAAGAAGGTGGATAATCTATGGTCACAAATACCCAGGTGAGATAAAATCCAATATTCACTTTTGCAGATGGAACAAGGCAAGAGCTGTTTGATTTGTTCTGCTCACCAGGCTTGGAAAAACTCCTCTTGGTGAGTCACACTGAGCCTGATGGGGACCAGGATCTGAATAAGGCCTGTTCTTGTCTTCTGAGGAACCATTCTCCTGTATAAAAAGAAAAAAAGTTGACTCCTCATGAAGATACACTGGAGGTGCTTGACCCACATTCAGCTTCCTATCACCAAGCCATTTGCACAGAGCTTTGTGACTACAGAAACTCAGCAATTCCTTGGCTGCTATTTCACCCTGACACTGGACTGCAATTGCTGTGGGACAGCAGCAATGCTTTCCCTCCCTTCTATCTAAATATTGATGGGAAAGTCAGTAAGGCAGAGAGGAATTGGATCTGAACTCTCCTCTAAGCTTTACAGCCTAAAAAGAGAGAGAGAAATAAAAGCACAATCACAAATCAGGAGGAATGTGGCTAGCAGCTGCCAAAACAATCATCACATGCCTCTGCCAAGGCATGTCAAAGCAAATCTTCAGGAGTTTACTTAATGCTCACTAAAATTTGCCAGTCAGTTGAGACAAGCAGTGACTATTGTCTTTCATTGCCTTCACTTACATGCAGACTTGCCTCTAAAGTATTTCCCTTGTGGGGACTCTGTGGTGCTACACCCAGGTCCCAGTCAGGGTCCCCACCAGAAGAGACCACCCAGGGACCCACTGCAGAAACTCTGAACAGCTTTTGATGGAAAAAAAACCAACTGTGCAAAAGAAATGTTACAGTCATGCCTAGGCACAGACTCATTATTAAGGACAGTTAATTTGTTTACCTTCTGGTAGCTTGGCCTGTCTGGAAGGCTGGCCATATCTGTGGAATTCAAGAATAGTGGCAAAGAGGAAGTCCGGCTTCTGACTTCTGCATTTGGAAGATCTTGGTTCTAGAAATAAGGGAAAAACAGTATAAGAAAACAGGCACCTGTTGGGTGTGGGCTAAAATGTACTGACACATCTCACTAGAGCAAATTTTATTTCTAATGGCTCAGAGGCATTGTCTGCATGGCATTTTTTAGGCAGACATAAATTTGCCCTGCTTGCATTTTAAGCTGTGTGGAAGCTGCAGGGGTGTGAGTGAGACTCAGCTTAGTGCTGAGCCTAAACTGGTGGGCCTGGCTGGCTGGCAAGTGCAGAACCTTGGGCCTGAGCTTGAACTACCAGGGCTCCCAGCTGATTCATAACATTGACAGACTGATGTAAACCAACATGTAAATATGTCCGAAATGCACCCACTAAGTATAACACACAAGCTTTCACTCTGATGCATCACAGGTGTGGTTCATTGCAGCATAAAATCAATCCTCCCCTAATTTCCATATAGCTTCCTCTTCAAAGAGATTTCTTCAATGTAAAATCAATCCCAGTGCAGACAGACTGTGCAAGGCTTGATGCATAAATCCAGGGTACAGGATTTATATGAAAATGAATTTCTGAGTAACCAAGGTCAGAGGCAACTTGTGAGGCAAAGATCAGGAAAATTCCTTTGCACAGCTTTGTAATGAAAAAAAGAAATACTTTTTTTTTTTTTTTCTACAATAAAGTACAGTAACATGTCACCTGAGGGCAGCATCCACTTTTGTCCTCCCTGCAGACTGAAGATACCAGAGTGACCCAGTCGTCTATTTCCTGCCTGCAGTTGGAACAAGAGCAGTGAAAACTTACTGACAGGTAACACACAAGGGCAATTCTTTTGCCTACCCACTTCTTCCCATGGGGCCCAAAACAAAAACTCCCAAAACCCTGCACACCTGGGTTTCAGGAAAGAGTGCTTATGTGGTCACAGCCAGATGCAAGGCCTGACTCAGAGAGCTAACAAGGCTTGGGAATGCATTTGGGCCACCAGGATGAGAAACACGCCATGAAAGGACTGTTGAAGCTGTTTTTCATGCTTGCAGTGGATTTAGTTGGATTAATTCTGGAATGCTTCCCACCCAGTGTGGGCTGCGAGAGCCGCGCCCCAGGGGAAGGCATTGGGTGGCACGCTCAAGTAGCACCCAGGTATGTGTTTTTCTTCTTATCAGAATTTCACACATCAGCTGCTCTTCTGCAAAAAAGCAAAAATTCCCCCTGATGTGCTCGTGACTGGGAAACTGAAGAGGAGATGCTGGGAGCCAGCAGTAGAGGAGCACTGTGACAAACATCCTCCTCCCTCACCTAACTGAGCTTTGGCTGATCACCTCCACAGAAACAGTTTCTGCCCCTCTTCAGGACTCAATTCCAGCCTGAAAAAGCATGGACTACACCCCCTGCAGCAGCACTTTGGGGATCTGTTTTCCTCCAGGACAAGTTTTGCCTTCAGTCTGCTTCCCTTGATTAATAACCCAGTTTTCAGGCAATATTGTTGTTTACCCACGAGGAGCAGAACCTCCTCTACCTCCCAGGAGCTGCTGGGTGAGAAGGCAAAGGTCTCTGCTCTTTCCTGTCCCCTGAGCAGCACAGTTTGGAATGGCACTGCCACTGCCAGCCCTGTGCTCCCTCTGCTTTCATGTGCTGGGTGCTGTGACTGGGGCTGCAGGGAAGGTGAGCTCACCTGCCTGGGCCAGCAAAAAATTAACCCAGCCACGAGTAAGGGGAGACAATGCCATAGAAAAAAGCTGCTTTCCATTGGATCAGGCAGCTGAATCACCTCATCCCAGAGCTGAGACACAGAAGGGGAGTGGCTGTGAAGGAGCAGGACACTTCCTTGGGGCACAGCTTAGTGCTACATGGGTTTAACAGCACTGTCACATCCTGCCATGCTCACCTGCTCTCTCCAATGAGGTAGTAACATCTGTTTCCCGTGCTGATGGACATCACCTGCTCAGGAAGGCATTTAAACATCTTCCTCACCGTTTCCATAATTTCAGCATTACTTATGCCAACTTGAATACTTATGATTCTGTGAAGATAACCACAGGAAACATTAACATTATAACTCTACACAGTTACATACAAGTAAACACACACATATATGTGTGCATGTCCATATTTTACTATGAGCACAGCATAATGAGATCTGCAAGGGAAAAGTTAAACATTTTTCCACAGAAAAAATTGCTCAAGAAAATAAATGCACACATTCAAAAGAGGTGGTCTTTTCAATGAAGAAAATCTCCAGGTAAAAGTATAAAATTAACTTTTCTAAAGTGCTCAGACTATGGATCCTCATTTCTGGAAAAAGGGGTTTTTGGTTTAATTCAGAATCTTGAAAAGAAACAATAGTAAGAAAGATTTCTTGTGGAAGTTTTTTAGCCATTATAAAACAATAGATTTGATTTGAAACTAATTGTATATTAATAGTGTTTTAATGGAGGGGAAGAGGAACAGAAGTACTCTTAATGGATACTTGAAGCACTTGAAGCGCTACTTCCATTAACTTCCAAGAAGCCAAATTAATAAAAGTAATAACAACAATAATTATGGCAATAATGTAACCACAGACCACTGAGCAAGCTGCAATATTTTTGAAAGCTTCACAATGTAAATCCTCTTAATGGAAGAAGCACAACAGCAATGTGGTGGGTGACCTCCTTGCCTAACAATTCCAGGAGCCTGGAGTATTAGCCTCTAGATCTGACAGGAAATATTTACATTTCCCATTACATTTCCTGTTTCTCTTGCTCATATTTCACCAGTGAAGGGTGCCAGTCCAAAGCCAGTGACACTCAGTCTTGCTGCAGTAGGCATGTGCTGACAGGAGGGAAATGACCAACCCAAAGGAGCCAAGCAGGGCAATTTCTTGGCAGAACAAGAGGCAGCAAGCAACCATAATCAGCCCAAAGGGTTGTAAGAAAGTCAGGAGACCTTTGCACAAAGCTGTAAAGCACTCTGTGAAGCTGCAAGCGGGGAAAGGGCGTGTGCCACAGCTGAGAGTGGCACAGCCTGTCCTGATCCACGTGTGAGTGAAAGCATGGCGCTGTCCTCACAGGAGGTGAAATGTGCTCTGCTGCAGGAACACAGCCTGGGGGATCGTGCAGCCAAGCCAGGTATCTCACTGGCTGATACATCACAATCACTCAAACAAAAGTAAATTACAATGAAGCAATTCAGGATTTTCACTTCTACATGTATCATAGTTGCACCCAAAGCCTACAAATCCCATGGGACACTTGTGGAGTTCATTGGGTTTGAACCAAGAACCCAATCCTTGTTCAGTCAGGAACAAGTGCTTGTACAATCAGTGGCCATTGAAGAGTGCTGATACATGACTCAAAATAAAAAAGATGATGCATTTGAGCTACATACTGATCAACAGCAATGGAGCCTTTTATGTGTTGGCCTTTTAGATACTTCAGGATGTAATTCCCTGTGCTGGACTTGGACAGGACAAACAGACGCCTTTTCCAGGAATTCTGCCAAAGAGAAAGAAATTTGTGTCTCATTAAAATTCAGGACAGCAGATATGAGGGATTGCTGAAATATGACTAATTTGTGCTAGTATACCTGTGAGCTGAAAAGTTGGTGAGGTGGTGATTTGACGAGGAATCCGTGCTTGCAGACTTCACCTTCAGGGCAAAATATATTTTGAATTCTCACTAATCAAAGAGAAATGAACAGCACCATTACTTAACTTGCTGCCAATTATCTCTTTTAAAAGACCTGTTTGAACTGGAAATTGTTGCTTAGCACTGGGCTTCTGTGCTTAAATGGCCATAAGACAAACACAAATCAAGGCTATAAAATATAGAGCCAGGCCCTGCTTCCCTGATGTTAATGCTGACAACTGGCCCAAACTGCAAAGTAATAGTTGTGAAAACGTAGGGGCTCAGAAGATATCATGAGTTGCTGTCTTATTTAACTGATCTTATTTAACTTTTGGAGTCTGGTGTTACTTAGCTTCATAATCAGTAATCTGAAATACACCCCTAAAGAAATTCATAGGTGGCATTCAGTCAGCTAAGGATAGGTGATCTCACAACTTTACTACTGACAAATTTTAATATAAGAAATTTTGTACCTGCAGAATTTATTTTATTTGTAGAAGCCATCCTGATTGTTTCTTCCACCCAGATAACAAAAAGAGCAAAAATGTTGAAGCTAATTCCTTTCAGTTTTCTTGCTGCAGAGCAGCATTTCACTGCACACACAATTGCTGTTGAGAAAATAACAAAAATCTTACAACGGTAAATTTCCATACTGATGATCAAAATACATAAAACAGCCATAATAACTATTAATTTAAATATCTTTATAAATAATTTCATATTAAATTATACACTATATGCTATATCTGTTATTTTATAATACAATAAAAAAATTACAAATAACAAATATTATCCACTTTTATGAGCCAAAAAGATGATTTGCCTAGAAGTGATGAGAGCTGCCAAGAGAATTTCATTTGGCCCTTTCTTTGCACTAGTGACAACACCTGTAACCTAGGAATATTGTCTCCATGTATGTTTCTGACACTGCCCTGCCTCTATAAAACTGGCATAACTTGGCCTAAAAAGTTTAAAATATATGTAGAATATACAGTTATAATACTATGGCAATTTTAATAATTTGCAAGTTTGTCGTACTAATACAATGTTTTTCAAAAGTTTCCCTTTGCCTTACCTCAGAACTCTCATTCCCTGCAAAATCAGACCTTGGCTGGAAGTTGTTGTACCCACAAGGAGGTTACACAGACCCCCTCGTGCCACCTGAAGCCACAGAGCCTCTCCTGGGAAAATCTGAAGGATTACAAGTGCTGCTCTCTGGTTCTTTACTGAGAACCCTGGCTGCAGTGAGAGATTTAAGGGCTTTCCTCTGCTTCTCTTTCTTCAGCGATTTTCTCCATGGTGCCAAAAGCAAACATGGTCCAGTCAGGAGTAGGCTGGTCAGGAATGGGGTGGGTTACACATGGAATCTTACCCCTGAGACACAACTAAAGCTATAAACTTTCATTCCTCCTGTTCCAGAATCTAAATGGGAATGACCCACTGCAAGCTTAGGTACATCAGAGGTTTCTGTACATTTCTGTCTGTTTTGTTTTTGTTTTTTTTTTTCGGGGAAACCTTTGCAATTTTTGCCTTTTGGGAGGAAAGATTTGTTGTCCAAATGCCGTGATAAACTGTTATGAAATTTGCTTCTAGGGTTTTCATCTGTTGCCTACCAGAAAAATAAAAGGACAAAAAAGCAATTTCCAAAACTAAAAATGACAGTACACAAAGTCAATAGTAGGGGCACACACCTGGGGTTGCAATGAAAGGCAATGTATTGTTCTGTTCAGTGTGACTGACAGTCACCTCAACTGGCAAACCATGCAATTACTACAAAACAATGTTCCAAGAGTCTCTGACAGGATAAAAGTCTCTTCTGGATGTCAGTAAAAGTCAAGATTTGGATGGATAGACAAACACCTGTGAGATTAGTTGTGCTGTCTCACTCTGCCTTTTGGGAAAAAGTTTTTAATTGTTACATCTAATTGTCTTTTCAACAGAAAGCAACATTGTAAATAGGTCTAATTCAAAACAGAAAATGCCAATTCCATGATTATACCCCCTCAGATTTTTGTATGCCAGGCATTAAGGGATTTGATTGCTTCAAACCTTTTGAAATGCAATGAGACATTTCAGTCAAAATGCAAATAAAATGCCTCAAATCATTATGATGAAAGCTATTATAAAACTTCAAAAATTTCCAAGATAAGGAAAACAAACGGTGTTAATACTTACAAGCAAAATGTCTTCATGGTGAAGGAGGTTATTAGAGAAGTACACCTTCAAGTAAGTCCAGATTCCCTGTCCTGCCTCCTGCAGCAAAACACGATGAGACCTTGCCCTGCATTGTGACTGCCCTCTTATAATCCATGTATAAATACAAACACCCTGAAACATGACCCACAAGGAAATTCCTGTTTCTGCATGGGAAGTAAACAAAGACTGCTCTGGAAAGGGGAAATCCAGAGGATTAATATTCACTTAGAAGCAATGAAAAATATGCCCATTTGAGGCAGTGATAAATGTCCCCCACACAGAAAAAAATCCTGGAGACAGCCTGGTTTTGTTGGTTCAGCTTTCTGAACAGTCCCTTCATTTCCCCACCTGTTTCTAAAGCCTAATATCCACCCATGGCTGGAACATAAAGCAGCAGTAAGAGCCCTAAAAGATCATAAAAGTGCCATAAATTGAAATCAATTTCAGATTTAAAGAGCATTTAGTTAAACATACAATGGTGAAGCAGGATTTCTTGTGCTGCCCATGTCACAACAAGGTAATTTCAGTGTCAGTTTTGGCTGAAAGTGAATTTTTGGGTTTCTCTCCAGAAACATTCAGTGCATCAATAATGAACTAAACCATCTGGCTAATCCTGTAGATGGCAAGGGAATTGCTTTCCAATAGAAAATAGTCATAAATTTGATCAGGGGAAAAAAGCTAAAACACCCTGCAGCTTTTTGAATCACTGTTCAGCAACCTGGCTCTGCTGAAAGGGTCAGGGGTTCCCCACTCTGAGTGGGCTCCTTAGGCTCACGGGCTGCACAGCTCTCAGCCACCTCAGGATCACCACGCAGGGGTGATGTCTGCTGGTACACAATCTTCTTTTGAAATAATATTAACTTTCCTGGATAGGATCTAAAGCAATGCTCATCTAGCAGAGATAATGGTACTGACACAAGGGGATGTTCTTCTCTCTATCTTTCACTTCTACTCTAAGTTAATCTCTCCATGTTGCTTTCCTCTCTGGCAGTGTATCCAGGTATTTTATGCTGATTTTTCTGTGTCTTATATACTGGAACTGGCCTGAAGTTCTGGAGACAAGGGAATATTGTTCACAGAAATTTAAAAACAGGCTAGATCTCAAGCAAATTAAAACTAATGAACTATAAAGACATGAAAGAACCTCTAGAGAAGTAACAAATATTGAAACGTTAGCTGCCCATGGTAAACCAGGAACATCCTTAATTCCAGAAAATAGCTTAAGCTGGAGCTATCTGGCAGAAGCAGCAGGGAGAACACACTCACATGCACTGCTAGAGCACTGTACAATTTACTGTGTAAAGGGCAAGAGGAAGCACTGGTGGAACATGCAATTTCCAATAAAATACTTCCACTAACTTTGGTTTACTCCAAGAGAGGACGTGGCCTGTCCAACCAAAGTCACCCAATGCCAAATTCCTTTTCTAACCCACCTTTCCCCTGACACTGTAAACCTCCTCCTGAAAAGATGCCAGAGACCACCTGCACTCCTTAAACTGAAAGGGACTGGAACATATCTTGGTTGGTTTTTACCAGATCGAGTGACAAACATGCAGATATACAAAAGAATTTTTTTTAAAAAGGTCTTTATTGATGTCATGCTCAATATTTCCATAAATCACCACTTATTTCATTCAAACAACTGTAAATTTATGAAAAAAATATGTGTCTCACTATGTCACAGTATTTGTAAGAAAATAAACTTAATCATTTGCTAACTTGGTTTTCATTTTCTCAGAAGATTGTAAGGAGTGTAGAGTACATTAACTGGGAAAAGAGTGAACAACTAATTCTTTATCAGTTTAACCAAATCATTAAACTTACTTTTTTGACCTAGCTACCAACTAAAAGAAATATAAAAAGTAGAAATATAAAGATCACCAACAAAACTCTAAAACACAAAATCAAGACCATACAGTAACTAAGAAGGCACTTCTCGTTTCTGATTCAAGTAACCATTTCCAGTTTTGGCAAAAAATCCTCACATCTAGAAGTTAGATCTAAACATACATTTGTTATTGGAACATATAATTCTACCTTTTCAACATTAAATTTTAATGTTTTGAAGCCTTATCATTAACTTTTGAATCAAGAAGCAGACACTTTTATTTCTGCAAGCAGAAGAAATGCAATACCATTATTTCAGGTTGTTCTCTCAGTCAATTGTCATTTGCAAGGCAAAATATCTTCACAAAGGCACTTTAATATGGTTCCATCCAAGTAAAATTTGCCAATCTTCTACAAAGATTTTAATTTTGATTGTTCTGTTTATTATATTTCTATATTGTTCAGGTAAATAATCTAAAAATATTGATTTTTTATACATTCATCTTATGCTAGAATGATGACTAAGTAAGCTGACTTCCAGACTGAGCACAGAGCAATCATGAGCCTTCATGAATAATGTTCATTAGAAGAAAATTAATACATTAGAGTAAGAAATGCCCTTTTAAATAGCTACAAACTGTTTTATTACTGGACATACCCATAATATGATGGTCTTTGGGAATTTCCAAGAAAGTTATGGTTCCATGAGCTAGTAGTAATGAGAAGGACTCTCAAGATTTTTTTGTTTTTATTCTTAATTTACAATCTGATTTCTGGGAAAAAGCTTTATGGGTCAGGTAGCTGACTCATAACATCTTCAGTAGGCATAAATCATCACAGCCACACTAAGGGAAACCAAGACACAATAATTAGTAATAGCTGTCAGGCTGGCCCACAGCTTCTTTAAAATATTGTATATTCTCCATCCACGAGACACCCCCTCTTATACAACATTAAAAAATCTCGCCTTACCACATTTCTGTTATTAAAAATGTGCTACTCCTGTCCACACTCACATCTCCACCCAAAACCTGCCCTTTCAGCACGGGCTGCACTGAAATGCCCTTTCAGAAGTAAAGCTCCTTGGTGAGCATGGAGACCACGCAGGGAATCTGCTTCTTCTCGCTGAAGCGCGGATCGTCGGACTGCGACTCGAAATTGGTGGCCACCACGTAGTTGACCCGAGTGAGGATCTGCATGATCTCAAGCTGCTTTCCATGCTCATTCAGCACAGAGCACAAAGACTGCACAAACCAGGAGCCTCTTCCAGGATTTCTCCAGGAGTAATAACCTGACAGGAAAGACGAGGAAGAAAATACGGGGAGAGTTATTTTTGCTCTTTTGTGTGAAAGACTCTGGGCAAAGACTGACAATGCACACACTGAAACTGCTGTTACACATCCTACTTCATTACAATTGAGAATAACAGAGTTATTTTTGCTCTTTTGTGAAAGACTCTGGGCAAAGACTGACAATGCACACACTGAAAGCTGAACTCTCAACTGCTGTGTTACACATCCTACTTCATTAAAATTGAGAATAATGTATATTAACTCTCCAAACCTCACACTGCTTATGTACCATTCTACATTTTGGCACCAGGGAATCTGCAAGAAGTAAAATTACACAGGTTTCCTTTCTGAGAATAAGTATTGTGCTGAAACTACTCCTCCTCCTGCCTTCACCACACGTTCAGCACACCAGGACACAGAAGGGCAGGATTCCCAGAACACAGTACTGCCTTTGCCATCTGAAATCTCCCTTTTCCTCTGCAGCCAGTGCAGAAGTGGGGGATACCCAATGTACACCAAACCTTTGTTCTTTGTCCATCAGTGCACAATTTATCATCAGGGGATCCATCTCCAATTCAGTCAGTATGGATGGTGAGTTTTCAGGCTTCTACCCCCATCTTACCCTCTTTTCCTTACCTGGCACTGTGGAATAAGCAAACAGAAAATCTGCTTCCACTGGGATTTTATATCTCGGGTTGGCATCTGTCTCCAGGGTGTCATTGGCAGGTCCAGAGTCAGTTTGTATACCTTCATCAAATTCAGAGCCTCTGCAGGCCTGAAAGCAGACAACATCAATAGAATGTTTCCAGTAAGCAGAAACAAGGTTTTATAACAATTAGTATTCATCACAGTTTTTTAACGGATTTTAATGTTTTTTTTAATTCTAAGCAGTACTTTGCATGTATTAAAAGCAGAGATACAGTTCTGGGGGATAACTAATTGTTCAGTGATAAAGTTACTAGCTTACCCTTTGAAAAATATACATTTTGTAAGCAGAGGAAGGCAAAGGTGTTGAGGCTGTGCATCTAAGCTGTTTGTCAACAAGTGCCATGCCAGCACTGGTTTATTCAAACCATGATTAATTTTACCAGTCTAGAGTCATTCTCAGCACCCAATTATTACATAATGCTGACTCCTGGACAATTTCTTGGCAGTGGACTCTACAGGCAGAGACTCTACAGTGTGGACAATGTGGTCTAGTGTTTGACCACCCATTACAAGTATACTGCATTTTTAATACTTTTCCATTTATCTCTTTGATTCTTAATTTTCTCTTAATAATGAGTTTAGCTAAAGGGCACACTGGGACAATGGTCCTGGTGGGTAATTTTCAGCTCTTGATCAGTAGCTTTGACTGACAGCTCTTGTGAAAAAACAAGTCTGCCTGGCTTATATGACAGGGCTGATTGTCTTTATTAAGATAATTTTAAAGTCTATAAAGTAACCATTTCAAAAGTGTAATTAGGAGAAACATCACTTTAGTGGTATGAAGAGTCTAAATCAGTTTTCACTTTGAGGATGAGGATTAATTGATGGGATAGCCTAGGGAAAACCACATCTGCTGCAACTCTTATATGCAAATAATGCTGTGTATTATCTAAAAAAGAGAATTCAGACCCATGATATGTCAGTTAATGCTGTTTGAAACAGTTGTCTTTAAAAGTTTTAACTAATACAATTAATACATTAACTAATAATTGTATTAACTAGTACAAATAATTACATGCTAATTTAAAAATGCAATATAAATTTTTAGGCTACTGAGGGAAAGAAAAGTGTTTCTTTAAGCAGCAATTTGTAGAGGAAGCCTTAATTCAAAGAGACCTGGACAGTATTATTCCTATTGAAAATCATGTACTGTCCTTAGCTCTGTCTTGTACAAAAGTGAGTTTATCTTTCTGCTTTGAAGTCCATATATTACCAAGAAAAACCATGTAGAAAATGACAATGATAATATTCTTTACACCCGTGAATCTCGTATACAAATTATCTTCTAAAAACAAACAATAATTTTACCCATAGACAACTTCTTTCAACACATTTTTTCCACAAACCTCCGGCAACATTCAGTAAGTCAAGCTACAGGGCCTTTCTAGGGCAGACAACCAACAGAGCATGTTTTCCCTGCTGCAGCAGTAGGACACTTCATTTTCCTTAGGGCTATTACCTGAATGAAAAACAGTTTGGGTTTGCCTATAAGGCTTTTACACTTGTCTCCTCTGAACAGTGCAGTCAGACTCTTGATAGCCATGGGTCCATCTGTGCCATAGATGAGCCCCTCTTCCCCATGGCTTAGGAGGATACAGGCAAAACAGGCAGCATCACTGTGGTTCTCCTCAGCAGCTACAAGGCAAACACTTCCGAGTCAAAAAAAAGCCATGTTTTAAATGGAAATGATATTTAGCAAATGCATTTTTCTGAGGGTAAATACACACTGGGCTCCTACTGTCAGGCATAAGAAGGAGTGGATCATCTTTTACAATGCGGTGAGTACCTTGAGCACAGGGATGCATCCTTCACTTGACTCTGAGTTTAGCCCATTGGAATCAACAGGCTGAACTCCTTATGTAATATGAAGGCTTTTCACCTAACACACAGGACAAGTGCTTCACAAGAATACTGTGCATTTCTGAACTGATGCTGGGGGATGAGGTGGGGAATTAAGCCCAGTCCATTCAGAAAACAAATCCTTCAATACATAAAATTGTATGCGTGGGGCCTAAGCAATCTGCTCTACTTTAACCCGCTGTGAGCAGGGAGTAGATTCAGTGACTTCCAAAGGTCTGTTCCCCTCTAAATTATTCTACAATTCTGAATTTTCACCTTTCTTCAGTAATTTTTCCATATCATCACGGCTTCGGTCATGGTGTATATCAACCTCAAACCCCAAGTTTTTAAAACTCTTAGCAAGGTCTCCAGCATCTTTGTCAGTGCCATTGCGTGTGCCCATTCCTGCCAGGAAACAAAGAACATGGTTGACTGCACATTACACAACTCAAAATGTTTCACGTGTTCAAAGGCAAACGTTTAAGTTTATCATTGATAAAATTAAACAATGTCTCAGTGACATGTTTTTAAAACAATCCTCTAGCAGCACTGAGAACAAATTGTGAGATTTCAAAAATAAGGCCATGTTCAGTGTTAACACATATTTTATCCTGAAAAATGCTGGCGTGCCCCCAGCACCTTGCAACACAGGAGCTCTAAGGATGATCCATCTCCTTTTGGTTATGCAGGCACAAAGCACCCCATGGAAAACCTGATGAAAAGTGTCTCTATTATACCCAGTAAAAGGATCTGATACAGAATCTTTTGGGGAAAACAATTTACTGTGCTTGCCAAGCGTACAGGAAAAATCCTACAAACCTGATTGTAGCACAAGTATTTGTCTACCTTGAAACCACATGTGGTCTGGAAGGTTAAATGCAGGAGTGTGAACAGAGCACACCTACAGCTATTAGCTTTTGTAGGTCATAGCTGCAGCTCAGGGACAGAGAATTTATAACATGGGTTGCAGATGCCAAAGTTCAAATTTTAACAACGTAGTTTTAAGCTCTGGAACAAAGGTTGAGTTTGAAGTTGGTACAGCAAGGAGACATGGTCTTTGAGACATATACTGAAAAGATGTTGAAAAGAGCCACTCTAACACAGGTGTTGGAGAACAGGAAAAGTTTTAGGAACAACTATTTATCAAAAAAGAGAAAAACATTCATCAAAATTCCATGTCCTAAAACTAGAATACTTATTGATTAAAGAAAGTGTAAAAATTCTATGGTCTGTAATGAGTAACATCAAAGAAAGAATATTACCTGTTTTGTCTTCAAAATTTTTGTTGTTTATAATAATACATTTGCCAACTTTCTTGTAATCCATATTATACTGGAATGTGGGTGTAACAATTCGGTATTGATTACTGGGAGAGGGCTTTGGCTGCTCTTCTTCTCCATTCTTCCTTTTTCTAAGTGGACTAAATGAAATTATTGTTAGTGACCAGTCACATGCACGGCCTCTTTACCGTAATTCAAACCACTCGTGCAGCCCTGCCCCATGTTTTTCCTTCTCCAATATTTGTTTTCTTCATTTACATTTTGGATCAAGGCATTAAGATCTTGTGATTTTCATGAAGTGATTATTGTGTACAGATGGATTCTGAGGTGAAATAACTCTGGAGTGAACTGCAGCCAGCAGCAGGACACAGATCCTGACCCAGAGATAAAACAAATGGCCTACATGAAGTGAGGCTGACAGCAACCTTTTGCAAACTGTTACTGGACATATTTTACTTTTACTGTAAGTAATTAATGTAAGAACAGACAGATTTCCCATAGTAGCTACTCCAGGAACATGGAGATATGCAGTTTACCCAGCTG